TGGCTATAGCAAGTTCCCTGGATCCCACAACAGGGAACTAAGGGAGTAAGTCTTTACCGTAAATGAGTTATTTGCTTGATTGGGCTTAAAGAGTTGCCTATAATAACTTTATTTGCTGCATATAAAGCTCTCAGAACAGTTTTACACTATTATACTTTATCCTATTGTATATTTTAATCATTTCTAATCTTGAATACTCTATACTTATTTTGAGAAAATAAATTTTAGTATTTATGTGTTTTTACTGGGAGAGGATGGAAAATAAGACACATTACAAAGAACAACCACCCAAATTATTAATCTTTTATGGAAAACATGTTTTTGCTCTTGCCAAGTGTTAGGTTTTTTCTTCTTTCCTTTTTTTTTTTTTAAAAAAAAATTGAGTTCTATTGTATACTGCATTACACAATGCCGACTACTAGTGATTTCACTTGAAATCCATTTTGACAAGCTTTTAAAGGGAGACCTGTCTACTCTCTCTCCCCATGTCTCACCACCCATTTACTTTCCGTCCAGCCTTGTTTTATGAGGGGACAGCCCTACAGAAATCATTCATTTTCAGCCTCTAAAGGTTGTTTCTAGTTATCAGACCAAAAAGTCATTTCACTAACAAATCTGTGTTCTGCTTGTTTTGGCTTTTCTTGTTCTCGGTCTCATTGTGTGTGTGTGTGTGTGTGTGTGTGTGTGTGTGTGTGTGTGTGTGAACATTATCTACACTGATTAAAATGTATGCACTCTCCTCTGCCCCAGCTTAGCCACACTTTTAATGAGAACATAGCATTTCTGATTAGATATTACTAATATGACTTCAAGTTCCTCCTGGCAGTTCTGTGCTGCCTTAAATTTAGTGATCTTGTTCTAATTATAGTTGATTTTTTTTTTGATAGAAACTTCTGCCTTTTATTCCTGTGTGATGTTTCAGTCATCTGCTTATGCTGATCATCATGAACCTAGCTTGTTTGCAGGACTTGACATTGGCCTGTGGAATCCTCTACCGGAAATATCTTCCCTGAATTTTGCTGTCTTAGAGAATGGTTATCATCACTTCCTTCTACCTGATTTGTATATCTTTTCTCAAGATCCTTCTCTTAGCATTGACAACTGTCACCTTCTTTTAGTACTTAAAACTTTTAATTTTCCCCCTCCTCGTTGATGTACATTCTTCATGGAAATTTTGTTTTGTTTACATTTTACTCTCAGATATTAATCTTTTATGGTTTCCCCTTCCCCAGCTCCTCCCATATATTTTCCACCTTCCCATTCACCCAAATACACAACTTCTTTCACTCTCTCTCATTAGAAAACAAAGAGGCATCTAAAAATCCCACTTGGGATTGTCTGACCAAGTGTGAGACTGGTCCCTGGAGACCACTGACTTAACTATCAATCAGTAGCTACTCGTTGCCTGCCTTATATAGACCACATATTGTTGAGTTTTCATGGGTGCAACTTCTTGTCATTTTAGAAGACCAACAAGCACCCTGGTTCTCTGAAACCAATATTGCCAACCCTCTCTATTGTGATCCTACTTGCTCTGAGGCTCAGTGGAGTAACCCAGACTCAGAAAAAAAATGCCATATGTTTCCTCTTTATTGGACCATAGCTCAACATCTTCAAATTTAAATATAAAACTTGAAATAACTGTAGGATCGATGAAACAGAAAGGGACCATACTGGGAAGGGAGAAAAAGCTGTATTAGAACATGGGTACGATGGAAAGGAAGTAAAATAATGGGGGTCTTTAACTGGTGGAGGGAAGAGAGCGAGATAATACTGAGGGAGCAGGAGAAAGGACAGATGTTTAACACTTAAGAGTATCTGAAAAAACAGGAAGTATTTATTTTCTTAAGGTACTGAAAATTTGTGTGTGTGTGTGTGTGTGTGTGTGTGTGTAACCTGCCTTTGAGTTGTTCCACAGGGAGATCCAAGAGACTCAAATATTAAGAATTGCCATTGCATTTGGTTGCTTCCCTGAAGACTCTGCTTTTGAAGATAGCTTACAGTTTGACTAAGAACTTGTAGGAATCAAGCCAGAATTTAGCTGGAAGCCTCCTCCATGAGGGCTATCTCTCATAGCATCCAAAGGTGCTTTGCAAACTGCCAAGGGAAAAAGGAAATCAAAGTTCCTACCAACACGTGGAGTCTTCAAATACATCAGTGAGTTTCTAGAAAGAATCATCCAATACTATCATAGTGGTATTCTTACCTTAGCTGTTACCAACATTTATCTAACTGACTTAATTTTCTCAACTGGAGAGATTTCATGACTGAGATGGTAAACCTCACCAGCCACGCATGGCTGGAGAAGAGTTACATTTAGGTAGAGCCATCAAGGCAGAGAAGCAATTAGTAAAGCTTGGGAGAGGAAGGATCACAGCCAGTGTGAAGGCTGACTCAGGAGCTCACTTAGGCTGTTCCCTGAGAACACCCAGGACTCCAGGATGACTCATGGTTCCTAAAATGCAAAGATCAAGGTCTCGCCCAGCTAGCAGGTACCTTTGCTTCCTTTGTGCTATCCACTAGTCTAATTAATCAAAACACGGTAACATACATGAATAACACAGTTTTATCCTGTTCTAATCTGTAGATACAAGCATGGAATAACTTACAGACGGCCTTAGACAAATCGGTGTTAGATGATTCATAGATTCATATATATCATCTGTATAGTTTCATTTCTCTTTTGCTCTATTCTTTTTTCCCTACTTGCTAGAAGGTAAAATCACATTGCAATTTGGATGTAGAACCTGGGAGTGCTGGTAGGTGTTGTCAAATGTCTGTCGTTGTCACTAAAATATGCCATTAATTTATGTTGCTAGTTTATTCCTCTATACACCCATTCACACTAAAATCCTCAGATCTCTACTCCAAAGCCACGTTCCCAGGCTCAGATGTCAGATAGAGAACTGTTTGATACTCAACATCAGAGACTGCCTTACCGACTTTCACCTTCCCTCTGTGTCTTTAGTTGGATCCCTTCTGGTGCCTGTATTATTCAGCAAGGTCTATGAAGTAATAAACCATACAGCCATGTTCATTCTTTTGGTAACTTTACACAATTATATTCCATCTTCAGGGTTTCTAATATACATTCAGACCTCTGAGGTTCATCTTACACCTTTCTGCTAGTTTCTCCTAGTTGGCAGCTCTTGACAGCTACCAGATGCCAGCAGTACCCTTTGCACATTGCTTGTCATCAACATAAGAGAGATCATTATTCCCATCTTTAGCTTGCACATTCTTTGTCATCTCTCTCTCCCCCAACTTTGCTACCCATACTAAAGGGAATAATTTTCTCTAGTTAATCCAAAAACTTCTTAATACTGTAATTTCTCTTCCCTGGAACATTTTAGCGGATGTTTATAATATCTGATGTTTATATCATTTATGTATTAAATAAATGATGTAGCATGATTGACATATTATAAGAGGAAAATAAAATCTTGAGTTTTGTTTCATAATTTTTTATAATAACACATGTAGGAAAGGACTATGATAGCAACATACTTTGAGTAGTTCAGTTTAAAAAAGGAAATTCATGACCTTTGTTAAAAAATGGTGCCAGGATTTTGTTGAGCAGGAACCAAAATTAAATCAAACACAGGACTTTGGGATCTTGTAGTTCTGCACAAGGTGCCTTCCCAGAAACTTTACCCTATGGATGTGTTTCAGACAGTCAGGAGAAAAGTTGTATCAATTTATGTATGTGCTGAGAGAGGTATATAACAGAGAAATAAATATAGTTTAAGAAATAGAAGGGCATACACATTAAAGTAGAATAATTATGCTAATTGATTCACTTTCACTGTGCTCTGACATAGAACATACAGTAAGTGGAAATACATAGTTAATAAGAATCTACATTTAGTCTGATGTCTATTATCCATTGTAGTACAATGCATGGGTTTAGTTTGAAGGTTCAGAAATCTTCACGTGGGGTTATAAAACCATGCTCTGTCTACCATAGAGTCTTTGATAAGGCAGTGTTTCCAGCTTACTGTACATCATTATGTACACCATAGGGATGTAACAAGGAATCTACTAAATAGACTTGAAATGTAAATTATTCTATACTAAGTGCTTTGAAGAACACATAGTGTAGTAAAAGCTTAATTTTTAAGGAGTCTGTGTATTAAAATTCTTTTATTTAAAAGGAATGCTTCTTTCAAAATTATATGCATATACTACTCCTTTATAAATTGATGCTCCTTATTATATAGAAAATGTGGAATTACAAATTTTACTGTGACATTTAGCCAATGATGATGGAAACAAATGATGTCTTCAATTTTTTAAATCTAAAGTTGAATATCTAAATCTGCTGTTTAATTGATGATTTTTGTGTGTTATGATTCATAGGTTTCATAATTTTAGAATCCAATTCATTTATATCTTAGCATTTCAAGCAGGTGTAAAGATATTTAATGACCAAGGTTTTTTATAAATAATGAAATATAGAAATTTAAGTTATTCACTTTGCTTTTATTTTTATGTTATTAAGTATTAAGGCTATATATATATATGAGTATGAATCTTGTTTATTTATAATGTGAACAGTTTGTTTTCTTTATTTTAGGAAAAGATATATTGATTTGTAAATGAAATACTTATTCTTGTGTGCAAACTACAAATTTCAGCAGCCCTGAAATGGCATCGGAAAAATTAGTTTAATCATCAAATTTAGAGTATCAAATAGTATGCATGCTATTGTCAGGATTAAAGATAAATTTGCTCAAATAATTTACTTTAGATGGTTTCTAATAAGTTATTCATAATGAACAATATAACCTTTTAAAAGAAATTCTAAGCAAGCCTGCTTTCTATGGAGGAACAGGAAAGCTCTTCTGGGTTTACCTTCCGTTAGTTGTGAGCACTGCTTGGAAAGAGTGAGTTGAGACTGTCACGTTCACCCACTTCCTTATCACACCATGTACTCAGATCCTTTTCTCTCTTGCAGATTTCACTATTTAAATCTATGTCCAATTTCTTTTTCATATTAGACAGTATTACTGAAGTCTTCACTAACATCTACGTGACCAGTTTTGGCCCTGTCTCAGATACAGATATGGTGAGTATTTTTTTAAATATCAAATATGTTTCTTAACTGATTGGAAATTGTTGGTAATTTAGAGTAAGTATGTATTATTATTGTCACATAAGTCTTTATATATCTCATGTCTGGTCACATGAGAAAAAAGTTGAGGTTGTATTTTTGGGTTTCTGTGGAACACAATGAAAGCTTGAATGTTTTTTTTTCCCCAAAATAAACCCTAGATGTAATGTTGCATATAATCACAATTAAAGTGAAACAATTATATTATTGGTGATGATTTTCTGGAGTTAAAGCACTTGCTTTGCTTTCATATATCTGAGTTTCATATGTAACCACTTCTCACCAATGGTGGTGGTACATGAAGATATCCTTATGTATCAGTCATGTAGTCTGCACACAAAAGAAGCACGTGCAGACCAAAGCAAAGAAAACTACAAGGTTGAAATTACTGGATATTGTTGAATTTATGTTCATTTGTTTTTCTTTAAATGAGATCTATGTGAGAGGGAAATTGGTGGAGTAAGAGAAACTCTTAATTCTATGTAAAAATCATTCCTCCCTATAATGGCAAACTATAGTCCTGTGTAATAGAACACACTGTCATCTCTTCCCAATTTCTTTTATCACTCTGAGAATACAGAAGAGAAATGGACAAGTTTGGATATTTTCCACCTGGATGAACAAAGGATAACAAAACATTCACCCTTATCTGATTCTCTTAAACATTGATTTCAGTGCTATCTCTCTGTCTTCTGAGATTGAACAGAAATATCACATTTACAATGAAGTGATTTGCTTTTTCTTCCATTAAAATACCTCTTCTACATCGGTTAATGTCTTCTAGGACCTGTGTGGTGTACAGGGTGACAGGTTGTGAGACTAAGGGGAGAGCTTTACTTTGGGGCAGGGTGTTAACTCAAAAATGGTTAGGTCTTTAAAAATTCTTCCAAAGTGACAATGTGATGGTTACTTTTTCTACAGCAGGGGAGAGACACGGGGACAGTTTTGGAACATCAAGAATACATGCCATAGAACCTAAGCTTTAACATCAATGAGCATATTACCATAAAAGGGGCAAATTTACTGGGATCTTACAAGAACTACAGGCAAAGAACTTCAGACTCTTGGGAGAAGAGAAGAATTCACATTTTCCAGTGATTAGGGCCCTCACTGGTTGTCCAGTTCTGAGTGGTCAGCCTTGAAACCATATATACACCACCAACAAAGCAGATGTATAGCAGGTTTTATGTTCTCTCTCTCTCTCTCTCTCTCTCTCTCTCTCTCTCTCTCTCTCTCTCTCTCTCTCTTTCTCTTTTACACACACACACACACACACACCTACACGAGCATATTTGTGTATGTATATATGTGTATGTCGGTAACAATAATAACCAAAGAGAGAAAAAGAGACTATTGGAAATGGATGTTGAGTGCATGGCAGGTGTTGAAGAGAGAGTACCTGAGATGGGCTGTGAGAAGGATAGGTAAGGGGAAATTTATGTAAATCCATTTCAATTTCAAACATATTTTTAAATTTATTATTTGTTTCATTTTATATTTTATCTGTAGTTCTCCCTCCAACCTTCCTTTCGGCCCCCTGCCTCCCCCAAAGCCAACTCTCTATCTACTCCTCCCAATGGGTAAGGGCACCCAGGAGAAGTCAGCAAATTCTGGTCCATTAAGCTGGGGAAGGACCAAGCTCCTGCATTAGGTGTGAGCATGGCATCCCACCGTAGGGAATGGGCTCCACTAATGGGCTCCAGGATAGATCCTGGCCCTGCTGCCAGGGAAAAAAAAAAGTATCTGTAACAGAAATTTGATCAGGATAATCTAATACAAAGCATTATTAACTATCAAAAGGTTTGTTAGGCATTGAAAGGGCTAAAACAGCACTTAGAGTGAAGAAATGGAGAGCAACAGAATGCAGAGCAGAAGCAGTTTGAACCAGGGAATGAAGGAGGACACTTAACAATTCACTTCTCCAAGGCAGTGAGCTCATACTTCAGTGAAGAAGGTTCAGAAGCTCCAGGAAGCCCAAGCTTCAGCTCTTGAAGAAAGATGTGAGGAATGTATTTTTCCTAGGGCTACCTTTCTTAGTCACTGGAAACTCCTTGCATGCTTGTCCTGGAAGCTTTGTCAGAGAGGAATCATGAAAGGAGTCAGGGAGAAAATCTCCCTCCTCTTGACATGCATTGGAGTGTTCGTCCAGATATGTCACTTGACTAGATCAGGTATCACATAGCCGAGAAAGGAAATGTTGACATACTCCATCTTCTGATCCAATTAAGGAAAAGGGGGTAGTTTTGGAGGTGAGACAAGAAATATGGAGTTTAGGAACACATAATAAAATATGGCAGGAAGATGATTTAGAGTATGGGCAAAGAGTTAGACACTGAGAAGCTTCTGTGTTATATTTGTCTAGATCCAGGGAACAAGTGTGAAATTAAAGGAAATTTATTTCAAAAATATTTGTATACACATGCATACACATAACCATGACTATATATATCTATAAATAAATACATTAAATATACATTCAAATAATATCACTCACATTAACATACAAACTCACATTCTAATTCTTCAAGAAAAGGTTAATCTGATGTAAAAGAAATTGGAAATGTTGTAAATTTAATACTCATGCATGAAATTCTCAAAAAACATAATAAAAACAAGAAGCAAGTGAATATACAATAAGTTATCATTTTTTAATGAGAAAGGACTTGGCTTTTATGATTATGAGATGCAATATTTCATTCTTATTTGATACTCCTCTTGCAGATGTTAGAAAAATAATGAGGCAGGCTTAAACTGTGTTTAGTAAAGTCTGAGGTAATCTAAACAGACATGCCCCAAATGGGAAGGAAAGGCAGACACATCTAATAGCCCACAAGTAAAAGAGGACATGGAGGCATATGTCTCATAGAAGCAATTTGTTAAGAACAAATAAGGAAGATATTTTACTTCCTTTTTAGTAGTTTAACTGCAGTTCTTTCAATGAGCTATATAATCTGTAGCAGAAACTAAAGCCCGAAGTTCTCCTGTTCAGATAAGTGATGTAGATTTGTTCTGACATTAGCTGGAGAGGAAATAGCAGCACAGCGCAAAGAATTAAGAATCAAAGGAAAACACCCATGCACACATACACGTATTTATATGTACGTAGTCATACAGACACATGCTAACACTTGGCTATCAAAAAATTCATTAACCAGTGTAATTGTCCAAAGAAAGTTGTGCATCTCAATTAATGATTCTAATTATGGTGTCTGTAGTTAAGTTAAAAACCTTTAACTTCAACATTAAAAAATTAATGAGTAAGGAGGTAATTAAGCTTTAGAATGTACTGGTAGCTAATAATGGGCAAAGTTTGCGGTAGGTGTGCACGTTACAATTTCTCCTACACCTGACCCACCCTATAAGTTTCCATACAAAGGAATATGTACTTTCTATAAAAGACATGCAAATGGCTCCTTTTGTGTCTGTGGACATTCCATGACATGTTTGTGTTTTTCTACCGTAGCAGTATAACTACAAAACATTGCACTCATGCCTGTAAAAGGATCCATAGCTTAGGCAATTGTTCCATGCTCAGCGTTAGTGCTGTATCTTGGAGAATTGTTTGTTCTTATCCACTGTGTTATCACCTTCTGATGTTACTAACAAATTAGGCAGTCAGTTAACTGTGATCTTGAAGTATTAATTACATTGATCTGCTTGGGCCATATTGTTTTCCTTCTCTTTAAATGCAAAACATGTTATCTCAAAAATCCTAAGAAGCCAACGCAGTGCTTTGTAGTTCAGAAGTAGAGAGAGCTGTAATTCTCATTGGATTTCCTTATTATCCTTGCTCACATTGTCACTTGGCTATGTAGTGGATTAAGGGATCTTGGCTTGTGATATATCAGAAGCAAAATGATGATGTTTGCCCATTTTAAAATTAGTATTTAAAAATTAGTTATGGGCTAGTTATTGGTACAGTGGAATGGGAATGTGAAGATTAGAGTAGAAGAATACTTTCACGCATCAGGCGTTTTCCAGCCCCATAGAATAATGTGTAAAAATGCTTCATAAAGTAAGATTGATACATACCTTTTTGGGATTTGATGAAGATTGTAAACTTGTCTTCTGCATTTATCTAAAAAGTGATGTGTATTAGGTAGAAGTATAATTCATCTATAGACAGAGTCTGTGTGGTCCTCAAAATCCAATTGTAAGTGTCAGGCAATGGGAGAAGAAAAAATGAGTTACAAACGGACTGTTTCTGGCAAAGGTGCTTCTGTCACCTTTGGATTGGGATAGTAGCATTAAAAGAGAAACATGCCAATCATTTAGAATGTTTCTATCTATACATTCGATGACTTGTTGATCCATTGGATTCAGAAAGTTGAAAAAAATAAGAATGAAGGTATTGGGAGTAGTTAACATTTTCAGACAAGAGGACAAAAGTGAAGATGGGTCTTAAAAGAGCCCGCACACTATTTATCCTGGGGGCAGGGAGGGCTGTTTAAATTTGGAACATCAGTAATAAATATTCTAGTTTCCTAGGGACAGGGTGACTTTTCTCACCCTCTACATTCTGCTGTGAAAAGATAGCTAAACAGTTATGATTTAATAAATAAGAGAAAATTTTAAACTATAATGTACATGGGCTGGAGACTACACCATCAGGTAAGAGTGCTTATTGCTCTTCCAGAGGACTCGGGTTTGACCCCAGCACTCATGTTGAGGGGTTTGTAACCGCCAGAAAACTCCAGCTGCAGGGGATCTGACACCCTCTTCTGTCTCTGCAAGAATTCATATGCAAGTGGCAGATGCTCACACAAGCACACAAAGACAAAGACACACATGGCACACATATGCATTTAAATGAAAAAAATCTACATCTTTATAGCAAAATTGGAATGTAAGCTGAGTGAAAAAGAGAAAGGGAGCTTAACCGTAGTCTTAATCTTTCTCCACTTCCTGATTGTGGATACCGTACCACAGCTGCTCCCTGCTTCTTCTGCCGGATT